TAATATTAGTTTTGACATGAAAGATGAACAAATTACTATTATTAATTTGTTACTTGACAACAACAATGTTTTTGTCCACAACCAACACAACCCGCCCACCCCTCCACGTGCAGAAATACATAGTTGCCGCTGACTGGCTGGAGTAAGTTGGTCCCGAGCATTCGTAATGGCTGATCCTATAGCCCAGCGGCAACCGTACGCAGGCTATAGTTACTAGAGCTATAAAAATGTATTCTATGTTTGACTATATTTTTCTTTTTCCTTCTTTTTAAACGAAGAGCTAGCTTTTATATTTTAGTTTCACAACATCGGAAATACGTCCATATAAAGTCAGGGTACGGTGGGACAATGCAGGGTACGCAGCGACATATCGTATAGTACCCCGAGGTACTTTCCGATATATCGAACCGTACCCAGGGTACCTTCCGATAGTACCCTGGGGGACATAGACCCTATCAGCTATACTAGCCCTTGTTCGCCCTGTGGAGAATAATGGCTATAGTACTAAAGATAAGCGTTACCCTACTCTGTTGCGTTACAAATTTCTATATATTTGTATCCGACAGACTAATTAATGCTACATTGCTAGCTCGAAGAAACGGTCATACATAAAAGAGACCACTTCAAACTTCATGCTATTCTAGACAAACCAACCATCCATTCCAAACTTTCCACAACTATAGCTACAAATTACCTTCTCGTCACTACGAGTACGACGTGAAACAGTTGTAGAATCTTGTGGAGCTACGCCACAGCTAGCGTCACGTTAGCTCTAGTATTATATCCCTTCGCTCTGCTGCAGGCACAGGCTCAGCTCAGGGTGAGGTTCAGGCGCAGGCCCTGCGGCGGAGCGAAGGGCTATAGTACTAGAGCTAGCGTCACGTGTAATAGCTCAAATGAATCAATAGATTTCTTGCTTGCTTGCAGTAACTAGAGCTCATAGGGTCAATGTCCCCCAGGGTACTATCGGAGGGTACCCTGGGTACGGTTCGATATATCGGAAAGTACGTCGGGGTACTATACGATATGTCGCTGCGTACCCTGCATTGTCCCCCCGTACCCTGACTTTCAGCCAACTGATGTCGTAATATATACACTCTGTCAAGTTACCACATCACATAGAAGAAACCTCAAAACATCGAAATCCAATAAAAATGTATGGTATGTTTGACTATATTTTTCTTTTTCCTTTTTTTTAAATGAAGAGCTAGCTTTTATATTTTAGTTTTACAACATCGGAAATACGTCCATATAAAGTCAGGGTACGGTGGGACAATGCAGGGTACGCAGCGACATATCGTATAGTACCCCGAGGTACTTTCCGATATATCGAACCGTACCCAGGGTACCCTCTGATAGTACCCTGGGGGACATAGACCCTATCACTATCAGCGTAGCTAGAGCTGCTTACTGCCATGTTTTTGTAGCACCCAGTTACTGCCAGCAAGCCGAATGTTTATTGATTCATTTAAGCTGTTAAGTGTTAAATATCATATGTTACATCTGCTGTGTGGCAATGTGTGAAAACTGAGCCAAATATGAGTTTTTGCATGGCAAGAGGTTGTAATTAGTGTTTCGATGTGTGAATGTTTCCCTAGAGCTATGTTAGCAGCAATTATTTCTTCTTGATTGTTTACTGATTTGTGAGTGTGTCCGCAGTCATAAGTGCAACACTTTTCAGGCACTGCAGTTGCTAGAAGTGGAAGTCAGTGCATTTGTAATGATGAGAGAGCAGCTAACTGCTGACTCTAGCCCTACCGATGAGGAGGAGCTAGCCAGGAAGGCACGCTTCAGGGCTAGAGTGGTCACTGAGCTTGCAGCAACAGAGGAAACCTACATAGAACATCTAGAGCTGATAATAAAGGTTCACTCCATTTACAACTTTTCTAAATCATAATATCTTATTAGTCATAGAGATTTCTTACATGCATCAAGACTGCATTAATTAGTCTCTCACAGTGCGTGAACTTCACCACAGCATCAACAGCAAGTGTCGTGGTTGTCTTTTCATACGTGCTTTTGTATCCCTAACAATTTGCTGATGTCCACAACAATAAACTGCCATGGCTGCCCTACCTGGTTTTTAACTACATGTATGCCCTTTCTGTGTTTTGTGTGTATAACTCTATATCCCAATAGGGAATTTTCCTTAATTGATTATCCTTCACTGATGGAAATGTTTGTATGGGTTCCTCTTCAACCTGCTATAACATGTACCCTATAATTTTTAATTAAACTGAATCCAGCTCTTCTTGCCTCAAAAACCTTAAAAATCGACGCATGTGCTTGCATGCCCGTACCAGTCAATGGTCCAATATTTAAAGGCATACTATGCCCATTGATTATGCCATGTTGACGAATGCTAGAGTAACTGGCACCTTAATTGTGTAGTTAATAAATACATTTAACCTTACATCCAAACGCGTATTAGTTTGTCTAATATCACTGCTGGTTACTAAGAGTCTAATTGAAATCCGCAGTCCAAAAATCTGTTGTTTACAGTTTCAAACCGCTGCCGGTGAAGCGGGTGTGATACAGATTTATAGTGCACCGCACATTTTCGCACGCATGCTCGGCCGTACGCAATGCTATCATCAGTGATTTTGTAAACATGGATGCTCGTAATAAGGAACTTTTTGTCAGGGCTGTCCACGTGCGTCCGTGATTAGTATGTGCGTTTTACTCCATTTCCATGTTTAGTCCATGGGCGTGGTTACATCGCTGACACCTCCATTTCATCTGGCGTCCAAAACATATGGGCCGCACAAATGTTTACGTCATTGCTTGACTCCTGGATGACATTTACGACACGTAAATGATACGTTGATACATATCAACAACCGATTTCAGGTCTTGTTTGTAATGTAACCAGCAGTGATATTGGACAAACTAATACGCATTTGGCTATAAGGTTATGTACTTATTAACTACACATGGTGCCAGTTATTCTAGCATTCGTCAACATTGCATAATCAATGGGCCTAGTATGCCTTAAAAATGATTGGCAGGAATTTCTGTCTAAGGATCAGTAAGAGAGAATGATAGTGCCTGAGCTGTCTTGTCTAGGTGTAATTAAACATCTCACGACAGTGAATTAGTTGTTCTACTCCCATTAGCTGATATCCTAAAAATGATGGTATGGTTCTAACTTACATTACTCTGGAAGAACAATAGCCAACATTACTGCTTAGTCAACATATATATATATATATAATGTTTTATTGCAGTGGTTTATGGAGCCATTGCAGCAAAATGGCTTGCTGCCAGAAAATGCCTTATCAGCTGTATTTGGCAACCTTCATGCAATTAGAAGCGTTAACCAGGTAAAATACACCCTACTGACTCATCAATCTGTCAGAAGGTTTGCCATTTTCAATTTTTGTTATATATATATTGCTCATTTATTCTATCTACAGATAATAAATACATCTTGACATTTCTTTATCTGGTGCAGGTACTGATGGAAAGTCTACAGAAGGAGAACGTAGGCATGGCTTTTCTAGAGCTCGGCCCCTTTCTTAAACTCTACGCAGCATATGCTAAAAGCTTCCAAGATTCAGCATCACTGCTACAGGTGATTCTAGAGTAGTGAAGCTGCACATTGCAAAACTGTGCGCTAGTACTTCTTGTCCTAATTTTCTTTGCATCTCGTTCCCTCTCGCTGCTGCTGCTATTGAATTTGCAATTTTCTACACATCGCTCTTCCTCGCTCATACTGTTGCTGCTACAGTATATCTGATTCTATGTGCATCTCCCTCCCTCACTGTTGCTGCTATAGTATTTGGAAGTTTAGGTGTATTTCTCTGTTACTCTCACCCTTTCTGCTATAGTATCTGCAGTTCTCTATGCATCTGCCCCTCGCTGTCGTTGCTATAGTACTTGCAATTCTCTTTGTATCTCTCTCTCCCTTTCAATGCTGTAGTGTTTTTAATATTCCATGCATCTCTCTTACTCACTCTCACTGTCACCGCTATGATATTTCGAATTCTTTCTGCATTTTCTCCATCACAGTCACTTCTATCATATTTGTAAGTTTGTGTGTCTTTCTGTCGCTCCCTGTCACTGGTATCTTCCCCCCTCACTGTCACTGGTGTCTCCTTTACCAGGAGTGGGAGCAAAAAAGCAAGCAATTCCGACTGTTTAAGGAGAGGCAGGAAGGACGGCCTGAGGTTAAAGGGTTAAAGCTGAATGCCCTGCTTATCACACCTGTGCAGAGGATACCAAGGTACGTCACTTGGGTGGCTTATATAAATGTACTCGCTGTCAGTGAACAATTGTTCCTGCACACGTGTTAACTCATGTACAAGGGATTATTCCCTTGCAAAGATGCTGGGAAGAAATATACGATTTTGCCCCTACGTAAGTATGTGTGTATGTTTGCCCGGTGTTATTATTATTATTGATACTATTATTGATTATTGTAACATTAAATATGTTGAAATATTACTTGTTTTGTTTATTTACATGCTTCTGCAGGTATAAAATGTTGCTGGGAGAGCTACTAGAAAACACACCTGAAAATCACGATGATTATTCGCTGTTGAAAGGTCAGTAAAACTGATGAGACAAACTTCTCTACCACATTGGCATATTGGGTGAATCTGGCCCGCAGTTACCAAAGTGTGGTGTGATCCTGGCCCCTTAGCTCTGCCCACATTCACTCGTGCATCGTATCGCACGAATGCGTCACAGTAATCTCACGACGAGACATAACGACGGCTTTCTTTTCTCGTTGGGACGTTTCAGAGGCCGTCGATCACATCAGCCAGGTGGCGCTGCACATCAACGAGAACGTGCGAGAGCACGAGAACTTCATCAAGTGTCTCAGCATCCAGACGTCGCTCGGTGACGACGGGCCGAAGATCGTCGCGCCGGGTAGAACCTTCGTGAAGGAAGGCCGGCTGCTGAAGGCAAGCATGACATAAGCAGTGGTTCCTGGCTTGCCGCTCCCCAAATTTCAGTTGTATGGGGTGTTCGTTAGGGTCGACGGAAGGTCACTGAGAATAATGTAGAATTTGTATGAACTGAGTGTTTTCAGTTTTTTTTCTAGTTTTCACGAGAAAAATTTACATTATTTTAGTTTTATCGTAATTAATGAGATGATAATTTATTTGATAATCTACCCATAAATCAGTATTATTGATAATATACCAAAATTTTGGGATTTCAGCCTGTAAAAAGCTAACATATAGGCTCACGATAGAAAAGCTCAGAAGCATTGTTGTACAGGATGGCTTATAAAAGTGTCTGCACAGCACTTGCATTTATCTTAAATGACTTCGCGATGTTCGAGGACGAATTAAGTATTGTTGAGACTGCTACATTTATTAACACCAGGAAGACCTGTTTAATCTTCTGTGGCTAAGCCTGTTCATTTTTTATATTTTCAGGTGTCGAGGAAAAAAGGAGGAAGGTCGAACGAACGAATGTTCTTTCTTTTTAGCGACATGTTGCTTTACGCCAAGCCCCGCCCCCTGAGCATGTCGGAAAGAGAGATGTTCATTTGTTGTTGCATATTCCCGCTGAACCACTGCGCTGTACACACGGTTTTTGGCGAGCCAGACTCCAAAGGTGCTCTGTTCACAGTGAGTGATTTTTTTGAAGTGTGTGTAACCAATTAAACTATCCTCCAGAGTGAGTTAACCGTGTTCCTTTCCTTTGGGTATTGCTGCTGCATCAGTCAAGCTACATTAGTTTGTATATCTACGTGGACATTTTCGCAGCTTTGTAGCACTATTTCACTAAGCAATGTTGTTAGAACAACCTATCACAAGTCACAACACTGATTGACTAAAACTGCCCATCAATATTATTATTATTAACATTATATAGATACAATCAAGAGCGTATAAAGAAGGAGAGCCGCTGAGCGTACAACGGTGAAATGCTGAAACCATGTTGCAGTATTAGTTGAATTAATAAACTTTTCCCGTTTTATTTTGACGATTCTTTGCAGTATTATTGATCAGCTTTCCTACCTTGTTAATATAAAACAAACCGCATGTCCCTATGATGCTCCTACGCTGAGATAATGAGCGGTAAAAATCTGGTATTTTTGCCGAAAACCGACTCGTTGCAGTAAACACTGATCTCGAGTCGGTTTTCGGCGAAAATACCAGATTTTCACCGCTCATTATCTCAGCGTAGGAGCATCGTAGGGACAAGCGGTTTGTTTTATATTAATAAGGTAGGACAGCTGATCAATAATACCGCAAAGAATCGTCAAAATAAAACGGGCAAAGTTTCTTAATTCAACTAATACTGCAACATGGTTTCACCATTTCACCGTTGTACGCTCTCCTTCTTTATACGCTCTTGATACAATGTTCAGTTTGCATTCTTTTCAGATCAGTTGCAAAGGTGAACTCCTGTTTCTGTATTCGGAGAACCAAGAAGAGGTGCGTGCCTGGATTGAAGAACTGCAGAAAGCTATCAGGTAATTGGTTATCACCAAAGTGCCACCAAGTACACCAGAGTTTTTGCACGAATTTCAGATCATGCAATACAATTCCTGTTTAAATTACGAATTATCAAGACTCAGATTTTACCACTGCACCAACGTCAAGTACTATGGTTTCCCTCCTTACATCCCATAGTGCCCCTGAAAATTGAATGTCATCTATGACACTAACCCGCTGTGGCTGCCCTACCTGGTTTGGGTCTCTGTGCTTCCCATAAATTTTATGTTGCATATGTATCCCTATTTGTCCTACACAAAGAGTGTTTTTAAAAAGAAAGCGGTCTTGATGCCCGTTTTTTGAAGGAAATGTTTGCCTTTGTGTCCCTTGAAATTGGTGAAACTACAGGCAACACTTCCCTTACTCTAAAAATGTCAAATTCAACCCCTGTAATGTGTATCATGAGACCATTATATAGAACTTTTTCTATTATGGACTCTTGATGTGTATGTACCTGTGATGGCTTGTTTAACCATCGCTGACACGCCTCTCTGCTTGTGTCAACAGTCAGTACAAGCAGAATCGGGGAACACTGAGGAAGGACAGCTCCTGCAAGCAGCCGATGCGACGGTCTGGCATCGTGAAGGCGAGAAAGGAGAGCCTGAAGCAGCAGAAAGTGCTGAAGACGGCTGCCCAGGTCGTCGCTAGCGAAGATGTGAGTCTGCGAACAAGTCTTGCTGGTTATGTTTGCTCGTTATAACGAATCACAGCCAAACCTGCATATAAGTGTCACTTGTCACTAATTCCAAATGCGTCATTTAAAGATAGGCAACTGTTCTGTCGTCTGTAGCAGTATTTTCATTGTGTAGCTGCCACTCATCGAAAATGCCAAAAGCCTCTTTTAAAAGATAGGCAACTGTGCTGTACCTGTTTTCGCTACTATTACTCACTATAAGATATATTTATTTCATTCATATATCTCATAATTCATTTTGTTGATTAATTTGTTTAACTAATATATTATTTTGCAAAATGTAAATAAGTGTAATAAAATAAACGTGATAAGTATAAATTATGTGATTGCATTAAAAAAATTGGATAAGCCATAATGAAACACTTGCCCTGAAAAAATGAACATTCGACCCCCATCCACTAACCCATCATCTAATCACTGCACTAACCCATCATGTAATCACTACACTAACCCATCATCTAATCACTATACTAATTAACCCTTCATCTAATCACTGCGTTAACCCATCATCTAATCACTATACTAATTAACCCATCATCTAATTACTATACTAATTAACCCATCATCTAATCACTGCACTAACCCATCATCTAATCACTATACTAATTAACCCATCATCTAATCACAACACTAATTTACCCATCATCTAATCACTACTCAACAGAAGCCGAGCTCTCCACTGCGAGACCCAATGCGGCGCCACCTACGCACGCTCGCCGAGTCGACATGCATCACACCGGCGCGAAGATTCTTCTCTCCGAAGAAGCCTGGCGTCGGGTACGCAGCTTCCGACGTCGCCATGGAGATGACAGGCAAGCCGAACCTCGCCTACCAGACGGGACTTGGTGACGCTGATAAGGAAGAGATAGAGAAGGTAAGTGATGGAGAACGAAAGAGATGGAGAAGGCACAATATAGAGGTCAGAGAAGGAGCTGGTGAGAGAACAAAAAATGTGAAAAGGAAAATAGGAAGGTTCAATAAGTGTCAGAATGCGAGGTTCTATCAAGGTTTGTCCTAAGGCCATATTACACACAAAGAGTAGTAGAGTTTTTGTCTCATTTTATTCTTGAAATGTAGTTATTGCATTAACTCATTGCTTTATGGAGTGGATGCACAGGAACTTGGCACGGATCATCTGTAACATCTCTGATTGATTGCTGCGCTGATGTTGAACACTCCACATCTCAGACTAACACATTTTGATTGGCTTACCAAACGCTGTCAGCCGTCAAACCTCTTGCGAATGTCTCGCCCATCTCATCATATTTGCTCACCAGTAGTAACGATGGCGCCACTGTGATGTCCGTTGCTAGGAGAACGAACTTGACGATAACGACTCGATGGAATACGACGCGACCATGTACCACCTGGACCTGCCCGTGTCGATGTTGCCCGACCCGCTAGGGGGCGCCAGCAGCCATCACGGCGGGCAGCAGCTGAGCGGGTTGAGCATGAGACGCATGCAGGTGTTTACGGACCACGAGCAGCTGCAGCTCCGCAGGCAGGAGTCCCTGATGACGACGTACAGCGACCATGAAGAAGCCATGCTATGTGGCAGGGGAGCCATGCCAAGGTTGGTTCATGTTACCTTACGGGGTGAGGGAGGGTGAGTCATGCTGTGTGGCAGGGGAGCCATGCCAAGGTTGGTTCATGTTACCTTACGGGGTGAGGGAGGGTGAGTCATGCTGTGTAGCAGCGGAGTCTCTCTCACTCTCGCTCTCTCTGTATATATATATATATTTATATTATATGCAGTAAAGCCTGTGTTAGCAGTCACCTCAATAGAACATTTACATCTGTAAAGGATACCTTTAGCATCTCCCATCGAGTGGCCCTTATAAGGAGGTTTGACTGTATGTATGTATGTATATATATACACATATATGCGTGGGCGTATACATCCCCGATGTCCGGGATTATGCAATCATAGTCTGATGTCTTCTGTCATCTGCTTTACTTCAGCTTGCCAAATGTGAAGAGGGGATCGCTAAAGATGAGGAACTCACCGCTGGACCGGCTGCCAGAAGAGACAAGTACGAGTTCAGAGGGAGGAGATGTCCCTCACAGCTACTGCACCATACTGTAGGCTACGCCAACAACCCTGTGTTACGTAACTATGGTCTGCTTCGTCCTTTCCCAGCGTTCTTTATTTGTGATGGGACTACAAGCTGATGTATACAAGCCGAGTAGCGAATCCCACAGTACAGTTCAGGGAGTAACCGTATGGATAGGTGGGCTGTTGGAATGTTCTGTGCCTCTCATGTCTCAGCTGGAATACTTGTCCCAACCTACAACCATGTCCAACTTGCTCATTGATATAGATTAACAGGGTTCGTAGCGGGTCTTCCAAAGTCTTATAAGTACTTATTTTGCCAAAAATAAAATAAGGGCCCTTATTAGTACTTATTTTTGGTGAAATCTTAGAAAAGTACTTAATAGTCCTTATTTTTTGCTAAAGGACCATTTTTCAACATGTTCTGTGTTGAATTTCGGCGAAACGGCTTTATATAAATATTATTAGCGTACTTTAATAATCGGTGATCTATCAGAAATCGCGTAAAAAAGTCTTATTTTGGCCTCCAGAAAGAGTCTTATAAGTCCTTATTTCAACATGTGTCTTCCTACTATGAACCCTGATTAAGGTCATAGGTTTAGCGACAGTAGCGATTACGAACTCGAAGTGACCTTATCCTATTTACTTTGAAGATTTCTTCTATTGTGTATTTTGTGTGTTTTTAGTATCAGGCAGTGAATATATATATGTATGTGTTGGGTTAGAACCAAAGACTTTTTAGTAATTATTGCCGTGTGATAACTAGGAACGGCTGACGATCGTGGTAATGGCAACATCCATTTCATTAGGGTGGGAACATTTGTGCGTGGCATGTAGAGGGTACACACAAATTTGTACAATGTACTGCTTTGCTATCACAGGTGTTATCGCCTATTCTGTGATCTGAATGATGCGATGCGAGCTGTGGTGTTAGAGCACTGGCATGATCGTTGGTATCTGATAATAGCTGGTAGTGTGGTCGCAACTACTTGTAGCCGTGATGACATCGCAGTAAGCAACAGCGTGTGCAGCTTGCTCAACCGAGTTTAGCAATCATTTTCAATGGCGTGAAAGCATGATTATGTAGTTGGAAAAATAAATCATCAATATTGTAGATGAATGCACAAAATTAGGCATTATTACAGGAGTGAGTGAAAACGTTTTTGTTTTTTTTCACTCCTGAGTATCATGTTAACGGGCATATTTTTCACTGTCCATAGCCGTGTAGTTATATGGAATTTGTGGACGTGGTTAATTATAACACCTAATCGAATTTACCTAACGTTCTTGTAGCTGTATGTAATGGACCCGTTCGCGTTGCTGCGAAATGCGTGTTTGCCATAATTAAACGTAGTTTTAATTGTAGTTAATTTAAATGTTATTGGCATATCAACCAGTTTCTTTAAGCATTAAGATCACGTTTCTTTTCACACCCTAAAACATCAAATAAAACGGAACTACACATTTCTCGATCTTTTCCTGAAAAGTAGCTCACCCTGCTAAACCGCCAGCTTGGAACTTGTTATTTAGTGACTTAGTTCTAGCTTTATTACATTTGTCGCATAGAGCCCAAATTCGACTGCTTTATCTATCACGTCGGTAGGGACAAAACATACTGCCATGTGACAGGAGTATTGTGACACTGCAATGTTTTATAGGAACGTGACAAGTTGTGTGCATATGTAGAAGCTAGGTTAGCCGAAACAACAATCATGACCAAAATGTGTAGTCTGGTTGGCATGCTGACATAACGCATCGTTAATTCTGTAATTACGTCTACATTAGGGATGTCTATACTAACATTATGTGACAGAAATATTAATTATCTTGATTGTATATATATATATAATTATGTGGCAGCTATGCGGTGTCAGTAGATGTAAATATAAATTAATATTTTGATAATATAAAGGCAGTGTCTATTATTTCACAGCAATTTTGTGCCGGTCTCTATGCCGGCAGTTTGCTCATTTCAGTTTCCTTTCCTCATGGTTGACAATAAATCTGTTACGATTATAACAGCTGCGTTTCTCGTCAGATATTACTCGTTCTGTTCTGCTAAGAGATTCGCAATCATCAACATTATCACAAGCATACATTTTCCATGACCACTCCCCCTATAAAAGTATACATATTATAATAATTATTTTTTTAATCTGGAGGGAAGTAACTTGGCCCTGGAGGGATACTAATTTGTATTTCTTTGTAAGGGGGAC